TTTCTGTCCAAGTGTAAAATCTTTCCTCCACATTATTTCATTCTGTTGCATTCAACCTTCTCTCATTTGAATCAGAAAGGCACAATATGCATACAAATACAAATCTATAGAGGCATGGTGGGTCAGTGGTTAGAATGCATTACTACGCGCTAATTGCCACAGCCAGGAGTTCGATCCTTACCGGCTCATGGTTGATTCAGCCTTTCATCCTTTTGAGGATGAAAATGAGAACCCAGATTGCTGGGGACAATATGCTGTCTTTGTAACCAGCTCAGAGAGTGTGGTAAAACATTGTGTATATAAGTCTAACTGGAATTGCAATTGCTACATAGTTTCTCCCGAGCATGGATCCTTTTATAAGAAGTCAGATGACCATTCTGAGCGCAAGCTCTTTCCATATTCCATGCATTTATATGGCTTCCCTTGTGTGGATCGTCATATGGGAAATAAGATTACGTTTTTGAACAAAAGTCTTTCCACACTCCATGCATTTATATGGCCTCTCCCCTGTATGGATCATCATATGGGAAATAAGATTACGTTTTTGAACAAAGGTCTTTCCACACTCCATGCATTTATATGGCCTCTCCCCTGTATGGATCATCATATGGGAAATAAGATTATGTTTCTCAGCCAGGTTCTTTCCACACTCCATGCATTTATATGGCTTCTCCCCTGTGTGGCTTCTTTTATGCGAAATAAGATGAACTCTTTGAACAAAGGTCTTGCCACATTCCATGCATTTATATGGTTTCTCTCCTGTGTGGAGCTTTTTGTGTCTTTTAAGTGCACTGCTATGAGTAAATGTCTTTCCGCACTCCATGCATTTATATGGCTTCTCCCCTGTGTGGATCATCTTATGGGAAGTAAGATTACTTCTTTGAGAAAAGGTCTTTCCACATTCCATGCATTTATATGGCTTCTCCCCTGTGTGGATCATCATATGGGAAACAAGATTACGTTTTTCAGCCAGGTTTTTTCCACACTCCATGCATTTATATGGCTTCTCCCCTGTGTGGCTTCTTTTATGCGAAACAAGATGACCCCTTTGAGCAAAGGTCTTTCCACATTCCATGCATTTATATGGTTTCTCTCCTGTGTGGAGCTTTTTATGTCTTCTAAGTCCGCTGCCATGAGTAAACATCTTTCCACACTCCATGCATTTATACTTCTTCTCCCCTGTGTGGATCATCTTATGGGAAGTAAGTGCAATGCTATGAGCAAAGGTCTTTCCACACTCCATGCATTTATATGGTTTCTCCCCTGTGTGGCTTCTTTTATGGGAAATAAGATGACCTCTTTGAACAAAGGTCTTTCCACATTTCATGCATTTAAATGGTTTCTCTCCTGTGTGGAGCTTTTTGTGCATTTTAAGTCCACTACCATGAGTAAATCTCTTTCCACATTCAATACATTTATACTTCTTCTCCCCTGTGTGGATCATCTTATGGGAAATAAGATGACCTCTTTGAGCAAAGGTCTTTCCACACACCATGCATTTATATGGTTTCTCCCCTGTGTGGATCATCTTATGTGAAATAAGATTACGTTTTTCAGCAAAGGTCTTTCCACACTCCATGCATTTATATGGCTTCTCTCCTGTATGGATCATCTTATGGGAAGTAAGATGACCTCTTTGAGCAAAGGTCTTTCCACACTCCATGCATTTATAGGGCTTCTCCCCTGTGTGGATCATCTTATGGGAAGTAAGTGTACTGCTTTGAGCAAAGGTCTTTCCACANTGAGCCACCGCGTCTGTTCAGGAGGATTACTAATCAGATCATAATAGAGTCTCTTTTTTCACTTGTACATAACCATGGCACAAACACACCATTACACACGCAGCATTATGAAGAGCAGGTGGCAGCTGTCACAAAGATGCTTTGCACAATTTCATATTTCATATTGTGTGCTAGTTGCACCATGGATTGGGAGGACCTGCTCACTGTCACATCTTAGTCACCTCCTGGCTGGATTACTACAGTCTCTGGCTGCCCTTGAAAACCATCTGGGAGCTACAACTGCATTTGTTTGAAAGATTTATATAGCTTCCCATCTTACATATAAGATGTCTGTCCTACATGCCTGAGTGGCCATGCTTTAGATCCTTTCGTGAAACAATCCTATTTGATGGGACCCAAAAGGTGCGACATTTTCTGCTGTGCTTGTCTGTAAATCATTCCAGATCTCCTCAGGGATAGAGCTGACCCCAACTTTGTTGGCCTTCAAAAAGGCAGTCTAAACTTGACTTTTTCTTCAGACTTTAGGGCTGAGATTATTGGGTTTCCCATCGAGAAAGGGATAGAATTGGGATTTCCTGGTTGTCTGGATTTTAACAGAATTCTCATTTTATTTTATAATGCATATGCATCACTTAGAATCTTAAGTGTCTAGACTGGGCAACTTTATCATGTTGCTATGACATGGTCCTAACTTTGTCCTCACCCTATGACGTGAAATGCAGTAGAAATAAGAAGGGATTGGCAGTCCAAAAATGTGATGCTGGGGAGTTTTCTACCATCTTAAGAATAGATGTATAATAATAGATGTACTTCTGCTCAGCAGTGGGGACAGACTCTAGGCCTAAACTCCAGAAAAATTGAGTGAACGCAGACATTTCACACTTAATTCTTCGTGTGGTATCCATCTGAGGAATATGTGTTTTTTTTTACAATGGATACAAACTGATTCTCAAAGAATACAGCAATAGCACTAGCACCAGTGATGGGATTCAGCCAGCTTGCACCTATCCGGGAGAACCGGTTGTTAACTTTCTAAGCAGTTTGGAGAACCAGTTGTTGGAAGAAATCTCATTTGGTTTTTTTCCACTTTACAGGGCTAATCCTGTAAAGAAGGCAGGAAGGAAGCAATCTGGTGTTGTTTGTAGCCTAATCTTTATTGCCCTGCTTACAGAAACTGCCTCTTCGGTTAACCCTTATTACATCGTAACAACTAAGGTGAAGTGCCCATTGACATGAGTGATGTTGCATTGGCCACACCCACCAGGTCACGACCACTGAGCCACGCCTACCCAGCTGGTCATTAGGGCAGAGAACCGGTTGTTAAATTATTTGAATCCCACCACTGACTAGCACTTAGACTTGGATACCACTTCATAGTGCTTTGCAGCATTCTCTAAGCAGTTTACAGAATCATCATTTTGCCCCAACAATCTGGTTTCCCATTTTACTGACCTCAAAAGGATGGAAGGCTGAATCAACCTTGAGCCCATCAGGATCGAACTACTGGCAGTGGGTAGGGTTAGCCTGCAATACTGCACTCTAACTAGGAATGAAATTCAGCAGGTTTTGGAGAACCGGTAGCGGGAATTTTGAGTAGTTCAGAGAACTGGCACATACCACTCTGGCTGGTCCCAGAGTGGGGTGGGAATGGAGATCTTGCAGTATCCTTCCTCTGGAGTGGGGTGGGAATGGAGATCTTGCAGTATCCTTCCCCTGCCACGCCCACCAAGTCACGCCCACAGAACTGGTAGTAAAAAAAATTGAATTTCACCACTGACTCTAACCACTGTGCCAATATAGTCCACCCGTAGTTAAATTCCAGTTTCAATAGCCAGGTGCCCCAAACATGGAAGTCCCATTGAGATACCATATCAAAGAACCAACAGAAGGATACAGCCCCTCTATTCAATGTCCTTGTACAAATTAGTCAAAGTAGTGTGACTTTTAAGAGTGGCTATTAATCTGTTGCAAAAGCAAAACAAAACCCCACAGCACTTTAAACACTGATTTATTTATTCTGAATGAGCTTTTGAAAGTAATGTAATCCATGCAAGCCCACAACAAAATAAATGTGTTAGTATTTGAACTGCCACAAGTTTATCTTTTCATGTTTAGAGAAGAAATCCTTTTGTGTTTGTACAATGCCTGCCACAAGCCAAGAAACCAGAGAAGATTTGGCTCACAATGTTATTCTTGAACCTGCTCCTTTTCTGAATTTTCTTAACCAAGCAACATTTTACCAACCAGCAAAGACCACCGTCCAACTTTTCAAAAACCTGCATCTTCACGATATGCCAATACAGGTAGTCCTCGACTTACGACCACAATTGAAACCAAAAATTCTGTTAAGTGAGACATTTGTTGAGTTTTGCCCCATTTTATGGCCTTTTTTGGCCACAATTGTTAACTGCAATTGATAAGCTAATAACATTAAGTGAATCTGGCTTCCTCATTGATTTTGCTTGTCAAAAAGTTACAAAATCTGTTCACATGATTTTGGGGCACAGCAATGGTCATAAGCAGGGGTGAAATTCAGCAGGTTCTGGAGAATCGGTAATGGAAATTTTGAGTAGTTCAGAGAACCCGCATATACCGTCTCTGGCTGGCCCCAGGAGTGGGGTGGGAATGGGGATTTTGCAGTATCCTTCCCCTGCTATGCCCACAAAGCCACACCCACAGAACCAGTAGTAAAAAAAAAATTAAATTTCACCATTGCTCATAAGTATGAACCAGTTACCAAGCATCTGAATTTCGATTGCATGACCCTGTGGGCGCTGCAAAGGTTGCAATTGTGAAAAACGGTCATGTCACTTTTTTCAGTCCTGTCGTGACTTTGAATGGTCACTAAATGAACTGTTGTAAGTCGAGGACTACCTGTATCACAGTAATCCATTTGAGCTGCTTCTATTAATTTCAAGTAATTCCTTACAAACACCACTTCCTTTACTGTAACTATGCAGAAAGGCTAATTGTCACAAATGGCTTTAAAACACTACTGTCAAGGCCGGATTTTCCTATAGGCTAACTAGGCTTCAGCCTAGGGCCTCAAGATCAAGAGGGGCCTACATTCA